TGTTTAAATGCTAAAAAAAAAAAAAATATTTAGGTGAAATTTTGGGGGGCCGGGAACCAATTAATTAGTTTTCCATTATTTCTTATGGGAAAAAATAAGAACTCAAACTTTTTAGGATTCGATCCGGAGTCCGGAACGGATTAAGTTCGAGAACCGAGGTACCACTGTATATGAAAGTGAGATTGTACTTTCATAAGTATGGTGTTATTTTGTATGGCTGTTGTTGTCAGACTTAACAAAAGAAACCTCTTTCTCCCTGAAATTCTACATTCTGTACAATTATTGAAACTGTAGTAATGTCAGTGTGAAAGATTAACAATGAATAATTTCATTTCTTCACTAATCTTGTTTGTCTGTATAATCAATGCATTTCCTAACAGAAATAAAACATAAGCATATACATTCCCCTAAAGCTTAAATTCAATCATGTCAATGGAGAAAATGTACAGTTTAGAGTGGCCATTATTTTACATATGAATCATATGAATCCTGTTTGTAGTTCATACTAAATACATGCTGACAGCAGCCAGTGTTTTATGTGGATCAACACAGAGCCAGACATTCTGTAAATTGCGCTTTGTGTGACATATCAAACCGGCTCATATGACTCACTCTCTCAACTCCCAATCTGGAGACGTCTAAAAAGGGCCTTTGGCTTTGATGTGTTTTGCATGATGTAAGTAACATTGACTATCTTGTAAAAATGGCACATGTCAAGATCTGGGATATATTAGATGATAAGCCAACATTGAGTACTCGTAGTTGACGTGTTGAATGCATAAGAAAAGGCCAGACATAAAGACTCAATGACATTGATAAGGGTCAAATCACTTTAGCCAGATGATTGCGTCAGAGTGTCTCCAAAATGGCCAGGCTTTTGGGGTGCTCACGGCCTGCTATGGTGAGTACCTACTGAGAGTGGTCCGAGGAAGGAAAAACCATGATCCACCAGCAGGTAAGACTTGTCAATGCAAGACCTGAGTGAAGGCTGTTATGTCTGGTACAAACCAACAGAAGGGCTGTTGTGGTGCATATTGCAGATAATGTTAACAAGAGTGATGTGTCACGTCACACTGCATCGTGCCTTGCAACAGCATGTAAATTTTCATCCCTGAGTGGGTTTTGTTCCTTCTGAGTGGTCACAAGATGTCCTCATTGCTTGTGTTAGATTACGATAAACCTCATTTGCTAATTGATAGATTTGGGTATGGACAGTAGAGACATGTGTCTAACAATATTCTGGCAGTACTGAATTGTCCTTGCCAATAATTTTAGCAATCTCCAAACTTTTTCACATTAAGGTCATTTAGAGTAGAATTAAATGTAAAACATTTCCTACTGAAATTCGTTTTGCAAATCAAGGGTGTGTACGAGTAGCATTTCAGTTACCCTCTTGTCTGTTTCAGTAGCTCATTGTTATCCTTTTAAAAGTTCACAGAGGTGACGATAGAAGGAAACCAATGTATGACATCACCACATTAATTAAAACCAGTGTTTTGTGTTAAGTGACAAGGTGCACAAATTTCTAAAATAACATATTGTGTGCCTTTTGTTAAGAGACATATCATTGATGCAAAATATAGGAATATTCTTACCTGCAAAGGCTGTACTGAGCAATGTAATGGTGTGTCTTTATTTTATGATAAGAATAAAAATAATAATAATGATAAGGCTCAACCTTAACAACCTTCTTATCACAAGCACAGAGGCTTCAGGCCCGTTCATACTTCACTTGTCCATTTGCGATTTCGATTGCGCAAGGGGGGAAGTGATGTAAACTTCATAATGGGGGTTGGCTGCGGTCAATACGTGTGTAGCCTGCATTTTTATGTCTAGCGGAAACCTCATGTGTGGACTGCGCATGTGCAAGATAATTGACTAGATACATCCAGTACGTGGCGTGTATGTAAACGTTTGGTTTGTTCATTTCAAAACAATAAACATCAATAGCTCCGGAAACCTTGTCTCATTTATATTTGTTGAAGATTAATGATATATTCTACCTCTGTCTTGATTATTATTGATTTCTACCCAAAAATCATATTTTATTACAAGAATCAAACAGTACTTTCAATGAGAATCATGATCAGGCAGAGGTAAATAGTAAGTATTAAGCATAGTTACTGTCTACATTTGTAAGACAAAGCCAATATCTATTAAGTAGTTTTTAAAGAAAATGTTGTGTTTTTATAGTTTTAAAAACACAAGAAAATTTGAAACTTGATATAAACCTTATCTCTTCCTGCTTTTGCATAAGCTTCATTCAGACCAAGAAGATAACATCAGCCCTCTGCTGGTCTGGAGGAATATCATTGCAGTATCATTGCCCTCCGTATGAAATGTTATGTAAATAGAGTTGACTTGCCTTGAATGCAATTCATGCAACAATTAACATTTGAAAACTTTTTAATGGCACAAATCCTACTCAGTCTTTAAGGAACCTAACACGAAAATGTCTGCATCTTATGGCTGGGCTGGTTCACATGTACAGGAGAGTGGAATGGATTTAGGACAAATTTGAAATATGAGATACCATTCCTCTTTACTACCATTGAAAGTCCAGGTATCGCCCGTGTTGCTACCCTACTTCCCAAGCATCAATCATTTCATGATGTCAAACCAGTTAAATTTCATTTTCTATTACCCCTTATCCGAGTGTCATTGGAACAGGTTCATAAAACCACTGATTGTACTAAGCTCCAGCTGCATAGTACTTATAATCTGATCCGTATATGTGAGGGGAATCAGCACTAGGGGGCACTACGAGTATCAGGTTATGCGTTACAGCTTGGCAAACGCTCCCTCAGTGTTTCAGGAGCTTTCTGTTACTGAACCAGTTCTCTGGCAACCAGACATGGATTTGCCCTTTGTAGCTGGGCTGGATGCCTCTGAAGTAGGAGTTGCTGTTGTACCAACGTCAAGGAAACCCTGGCGTGTTGCCGTTTCCCATGCATTGTTTTATTTGTGACGACTTGGCATAATGTTAACTTAACATTAACGGCCACAATTAGCATATTGTTTAGCTGTGCATTTACTAAATGAGCACTGTGCTACGTCCGAACTGACCCCACTGTATTTTTTTTTGTTTAATCAATATCTATTATGCATTTAAACAGTCATGTTTAAATTTTATTGTATGTTGATGGCTTGACTGTAAACAACATAACAAACAATGCAATAAATAGTTTTGAAGAAAAATCTGCTTTGTCATTGAACCTGAGAAAAACTTTGAAAATAACCATAATGACGCAGTCTCCATGCTACAATAATAATGATAGAAGCAAAGTTTTTCATTGTGGGGACTTATCTTTATAAGTACAATTTGACTGTATTATTTGTGTCCCCTTCAAAAATTGCTCATGAGAAATTTTATATTTATTGTCCCCCCCTACTGTTAAATGAAATTTACGCCCATGCCCGCTGGGGTTCCCTCGAGCTCCCCTGGTCCCTCCTCCCTTTGCCTTTGTCCCTCCTGTCTTTGCTCCTCGTCCCCCTCTGGTTCCTCCGTTGACTCCTGGCCCTTTTGTTCCGCCTGTCGGGGTTCCCCCTGTGTCTCCCTTCCTGGTCTGTCTGTCCACGTTTCCCATTCTGTGTCGGATTCTGTCCTGGTTTCTGCCCCTGTGCTTGTTCTTTGTTTCTGTTCTGTTCCCGGTCCCTCGTTAATGTTTTTGCTCTTGTTTTTCAGGTTGTGTTTCCCCGGTCTCATCTACTTCGTCGCCTCCCCTGAGGCGCGCCTGGAGTGCCCGCCTTTGGGGGGGGGGTTCTGTCATGACCTGCTCGTCCGATCCCCGTGTGTGCCACGCCCCCTCATTACCTACGTGTACTACCCCACCTGTTACCTGTTATTTTCTGCGTGTCTTGTGTATTTA